TATTACTAAGCCTAGGAGGGAGACTCGGGAGCGGGTTTTCCGGCAGATTTTGGGCGGGTAATGGAGTTCGAATAAGGGAGTGTTGTGTAAGGGAAGTGCAAAGCAAACTTCTTATCAGAAGTCATGGATCCCGCTGATTGCGCTGCAAATTTGCTATCACTGCGAAGGAGGAGTTTGAATCTTGGCTTGCTGAACGAGGACTGCTCTGGAAGAATCCTCCATGCTCGAACTGCGGAAATCCGAGGAAGGTCACGAAGCAGCAGTTCTAGTGGCGAAGATGGGAAATGGAAGTACGAGTGCAACCTTCGCTCGTGTCGACAACCTGGAGTAGACATGAAAGTGGGTTACCTGAAGGGTTCATTTTTTGAGTCCCTCCATGCCGAAGGAAGATTTTTTGGCGAGCTAACTGTTCGCTTACGATCTTGGGCACGTCGAAGGAAATGGCTCGAACGCTCGAGGTGGAGGAGAACACGATCCTGCAATGGAGCCAGTGGTTTCGAGATGTGCTCGTCCAGTTCTACAGGACAACGTCGTACAGCTCGGCGGACCGAACACGATCGTGCAAGTCGACGAAACCAACATCGTGCGCCGTAAGTACAACGTTGGCCGTGTCGTTCGCAGAGGATTGGGTCGTCGGGGGAATCCAAGACGAGAACGAAGCTGTTCTTCGTCGAAATCGTCGGCAGACACGAAAGCCGCTACTCTGGAACGAATTATCCAGCAGTATAATGTTCCTGGAGGAACCATTCGTACCGATATGTGGAGAGGTTACAATAACCTCTCCAATCTCTGGTTACATCCACGAGACGGTCAACCACAGCTCCAACTTCGTCATCCGGCGACAGGAGTCCACACTCAGCGTATTGAGGGCTTGTGGTCTATCCTGAAGGACAAGATCCGCAGACGGCACGGCCTCGAGGCGATCTCTGGGATGACCACTTCTTCGAGGTTTTGTGGAAGTGGCAACATGAGAGCGAGAACCCCCTGTACGAACTGTCGCGGCTCATCTCGATCCAATATCCCATTCGCTGATAGCATCTGACCCAACGGCCCTCTTGAGGGCCACCAAAAAGCAATTTTGAACGAATACGAACGAACAGACTGTGAGTAAATGTAATAGAATTCTTCTATTCATCTGTTGTGGGAGTTGCACCTTCCTCAAAGCTTAGGATGACCTTAAAGAGGGAGCACCAGCCTGTGTAAGCTGCTCACTGCGTGGCAAAAGTTGAGGTATGCGAAATCGCAATTTGCGGCTTACCCAGCCTCCTTCCTAGGCTTAGTCATAGTGCCAGACGAGCAGAGCACCGCGCCGCCGCGTGGCCCACCTCAACTACACTAGCACCACGGCAATTAGTCACATGTAATCGTCTTGCAAAGAAAAAGCTACGACGTTCCACTCTCAAAATAAAATGGACGAGAGTAGTCTCGAACAAATAACTCGATTGGCAGCACTGAGTGACAGTATCCTGGTGAACTAATCTGCGTTGAAAATATGACAGAAGACCAGCACAAAATCCTGCACAAAATTCCATTCAACTGTTGCAATCCCGAAACCTCAAACGGAATTTTTGTCTAAGCTTCGCCTTCGGGATCCTAATAATAAAAATGATTTCCATTCAGGCGTTAGCGCAATTTGGACGCAATGTGACGCCAAATGCATGCACCAAAAATGGATGCCATAACTGAGATCAGCGCACTGCACAACATCTACTGATTACGCTTTTGCAAGAAATTTTTTTAACTTTTCGTGGGATTCCACTGGCGTGAGCGCATTTCAAAGATGGATCCGTGAATCCAAGAACAACAAGCTCCTGTCGTGTTACGCTCGCTTCCAGGAAAAGTTCCCAAGACAAACATCGAAAGCTGCGAATCTCGGTGACCTATCGTAACAGAACCTGAAGCCATCTCCTACTTCTCGCTCCTTTCGGCATGGTAAGCGAATGATCCCGCAAGAACCGACATTCTTCAGCATGGCTAGCACTGCTTCAAACAGGGCCTCAGAGACGACAGTCTGGAAAACATCAGCGGTTTTTTCATCCCAGGAATCGTGACTTCATAGATAACTATGATAGCACACTCCTCATACACGCAGGATTTTTCAGCAGTCATCTAAGTGCATTCGACATATCTCTCCTCCGCTTTTTGTGTCAACGGAGGAAGATTTGTGACTGAGTCGAATGTTCAAAATGTTGTTATTCAATTGTGCTGCAAAATTACAATATTTTGTTTTGATTGTTTTGTTTGGACTATCATGCATGTTTATATGGCGCTTCATTAACACAGGGTGCAAAACAAGTGAAGGAACATCCACGCTATTTGAATGTGTTAACTCTCAGCCGAATACAGAAACTATAATGAATTCTGTGGGTGAGATGCGCGATGCGGACCCAAGCTAGAAAGTTTTTCTAGCTATCACTAGAAAAACGTTTCAACCAAAAGGAACTCGGCACCATTATTTCATCAGAGTCTGAGCTATAAGTAAGCGTTTAGTGAAGAGAAACATACTGCTGAAGTAATGATTCGAGCTATGCGCCAAGAACATCTTGGACCAAGACGACAAGGTCATGCATTTGATCTCGTTTGCTATTGAGAATAAACGGATGATTCTGAAAAAAAAGTACATGACCGCAATGTGGTTATGACAGCATTCTTGCAAAATCCCGTCGCCAAACCATACTGAGCTCAAGAACATATTTAGCCGTCTGAATGTTCTGCCAGAATAAAATGATGAACAACTGGAGTTCACGCAAATAAAGTGATGAAAAGCTCACCAGTAAGGCTTTATACTTCGGCCGACATTTGAAATCTTTTTGAAGACACTGTGCGATGAAATCGTGGAAGTGAACGGAAAAGTTCATATTCTGAAAAACACAAAAAAAACTCCATTCGTTAATGTGATCATCGAACTGTTCTCCAATTAGTAACATTTCTCTTGAATTTGTTCTCATAGCATTGAGGGAAATAATTCCTAAGTACTAAACATGTCGCTAAAATAACTCAGGTTAACGTCTGACAATGTTTCTGGAAGAGCGTTGTCATTTTTTAGAGTAATCGTGAGACAGTTGTGGGACCACTAAAGGCAGAGTTCACGATGAGAAGACAGTCCACTAGAAACCAAGGGAGAGGTGATCAGCGATACAGGTATGGAAGAAAACACCAAAGTACGGCCAAGAGCCCGAGAGAGGGTGCTTTTTTGTCCGTTAATTTGCGTCTTTTGGCAGGTCTCATCGATGGTGCCCTCTTCGACGCTAACGCTCCCTGTACCAGGGCGGTTAAAGTCCGACGACTAGGGAATGGGTAAACAGCGGCGCATCCATGGTCCTTCTAGGACAATGGAGCATACTCTTCGACCGCGACCTCATCGTAAAGTCCTCCTTTTAGCCTTTACTTATTCGATGGTAACGTTTACCATCACAGCCAGCATGTTATAGTAGGTGAATTGTGGCAGATTGGTGCGAAAGAAGTAATTTTGAAGCTTTTCCAATAATTTCCTCATAGGAAGGAGAAATTCGAGATAACACTGGACGAGTCCGCGAAAAGTGCCGCAAAACGAATCCACTCAAATTAAATACCGGCTAACATCTCGTGCACATGAGATCAGGTTACAGGGTGCGCCAAAATTACGGAGACAACGCATGAGCAAACAATTTGAACTGATATTCACAGATGCTGTTTTCTTCTGTCCTAGTTTTGGTACTGTGGTGTAGTAATTGTTTATGCTTACCTTGTTCAACCACCAAAATCTAGCTGCAGCGGTTGACTGATACTGACACCGTCCCTAAATCATTGGACTTCGACGTTGAGGGTTTTTGGCACGCGACAATTATCATCGTTTTGGTGTATACCCGAGCACTATCAATAGATGCTCCAAGTGGTACAGGGGACAAGGAGCTGAATGCAGTCATTCTGGATGAGAAGGGCGTGTTTCTGTGGCGACCACGAACAATCTAAGGATTGTGTGCGATAGAATTTGCAGGTAGTTGACGCGCTGGTTTCACTGGATGTCACGAGAGATAGGAATCAGGGGGGCTCTTTTGGACTTATCAGAGCCCATTGCTATCCTGAGTTTATTTTCACTTTGAAAATCGTTGCTGGGCCTTCCATCAAGTAGGAGCTCCCGTTTACGAGGCAAGGGTGGTTCAGTACTAGTGCAGCATTGATGCAGAACCGATTTTTTCGACTTTGTCGGCTTAAACGGTGGTAGAACAGCATTTCAGATCTGAGCTCGATAGGGTACGCTGTCGGATCCGTTCTAGAAGCTGAGGCTTGCATAAAACACATTATGTCTAGGGATTCGTTGAAGAAACCGCTCTAAAATGAGCTTGACGAGTCCTACTCGCCACATTGCGTGCCACAGTCGATGGTTCCTCGATGTTCTGAGGACCCGTAAACACAAACCAAGGAATTTCAAAAATTGCATGGATGTCGACGATTCAGAATGGGACTGTGCACGTCACTGCATTTTTGTTTTCAAAGAATTGCACCTTGCTCATCCTAGGCAACTCGAAGTCGCTGTCTCCGTAATTTTGGCGCACCCTGTACTTTCTAGCTCCACACGTTATAACGAAATTGCGGCGCTTCGGATCCCAACACCTCATACCAACCAATCTTTTTAAATCCATTTTTATGGGAATCCACGACCTGCGCGCAGAAAACAACTATGGACTATTTCAGCTTAGCCTTGACACAACAAATTTTACACGTAAAAATCAAAGGTTGAAGTGTTACAACTATATAGAACATCGGTAATGATTGAAGTATAAAACTCACTACAGGAAGGGTGGGTGATGGATCACGTACGATAGCTGCCAGTATCGCAAATTCGGAATCGATATGGGAATACGGATACGTCCCAGTGGCTAGTTCAACCAATGATATACCTACTGACCACACATCACTTCGGATGTCGTAATCCGAATTGAACTGTAAATAACTGTTTCAGAGGATAAGAGATGCGGAAATAGTATTAACGAAAAACAAACTCGTGGATCGAAACGCTCTGGAGCCATGTAGGGTGGACATCCCGCCTGTACAGTATGTGCACGAGATTCGATCAGCTGTCCACTGATACCAAAATCACACAGCTTCACTGCACCGTTCCAATCCAAGAGAATGTTGGATGGTTTCACATCACGATGAATCACATTCTAAAAGGCGAAAAAGGTTAGCAGTGAAAATTACTGATAAGATGGATAACAATTGCACAATGGCAGTTCATGGATTCTTCACGAGACCATACAGAGCCTGTCAATTGCTTCGTGACCCCCTAATTAATTTTTCAGATATCTGATTTTGCACGAACATGAATCAGAACAATAGCCCCCGTTTCGGGACGTCTGGAAACCCGGTAAGGTGTGAATTGATTTTGTTTACCGGAATTTCATTCTGCGCACAGTTCATAAAAATGCACCGCCCATTGATTTGTGTACCATCTGAAATTTCTTTCCACAATTCTATTGTTTCGCCGCTACTCAACTAGCCTCCATTTAATATATGGGAATGCTATTCATACGGAGAGCTCATAGAAAAAACATAAAAAGCTGGCCTAGACAGATGCCCTATAACAGAGCACCACTAACTGAGGTACCAATTACTGAATTCAATCTTACCCTTCCAACTAACAATAAGAAGGTGAAGTAGGAGTAGAGTCAAATGGATAATGGGAGATTTGGAAGCCTTATACTTCACCCAAGACACAATGGCAAAAAATAGTTCAACACGAGATATAAATACGGAATTGAAGAAATACTCACAAGATGGTCCTTCAAATAGTCGAGACCTTGCACAATACACACCGTCATCTTTCCGATGTAGCCCTCAGCAATTCGGATTCCCAAACGATTTGCACTTCGTAGGAGAGTATGAAGGCAAGACGCCATGACTTCCATGCAAACTTTGACACTCGTCTGTAACAATACATTTGACGGGCTCTTAACAATTAGAGATTTGAGATGCACGAGCTCTTGCATTCCTGATTCGCCACAGCCACACTTAGAGTAAAGCTTTTTTGTCATCAACACTATTTAATCAAATGAGACTTCATGCTGACCATTTTACCAAAACACGGAGACCATGTGCACAGATACGGGTACCCGACAATATGCAGGAGTCGCAGGTGTGCTGTGTGATGTAGTTCTTACTACGGCGCACCCCATTCAACTTGACGCGAAATCACTGCAAACCGCGCTGCGACTCGTCCGCTAACCCGTTTGTGTCTCTGCGTGCTCGCCACGCGACGGATCTCCTGTCCCGCATTCCAGAACTCCAGGTTGAAGGTAAGTTCACTACAGCAAATGATACAACAACCCCTTTCAGCCTTTCAAGCTCTAACCAGATCAAAAACAATGGGAACGAGTTAAAAATGCTCCGAATAATACCAGGAGAATGGTGAATGAACATAAACGGAAAAGCAATAACATTAGACAATATATACCTCCGATATGAAATAGCCGTAGCATAAAACTATGTGATGGGAGGCCTCGGCTCGTGAAATCACATCCAAATCCATAATTATGCGTTTATTGTCCTCTTTGTTCGAAGTTCGGACCATGTCCTATATAAACACCTTTGGCGATATTATGAGACTTGGAAAAAGTCAATTAAAAACCTTAACAGCCATCACATGGCCTCTATAGCTCATTTTAGATACATGTCCACAGCTGCCATTCCCAATATCCGATATGAACTGCAAATCTTGAAAATTCGCTTTGACCACCTCGCCTAGAAGAAAACCATGATTAGCCATTAGCTACCGATGCCAGCATTACAATCTTACCTTTTAACCGGAGAATCCCTGAATTCCGCTTGACAGATTCATACCGTTGTTCAATGTCATCAAGCTCACGCTGTGCATGATCAGGACCATTTAAATCGAGCGTAACTATAAAGCAATGGTACAATGAAGAATTTATTTCTGCACTGCCCTAAAATTGTATTCTTTAAAAAGCTCAGACCACAAAGAG